TCACAAATATCTGACAAAAAGCCTGGTGTAATATACACTGAAACATTCAAATGAAATATGCCGGTATGTCAGCTATCTCCCTTTTGGAGGATTGCCCAGCTAACAGTCTCTAATCTTTTGAAAGGAGTCTCACAAGGGTAATGAGTGTGTGTACATGTACTTCTTGATAACCTTCTGTAAACTTTTGGCTGGTATACAATGTATGTGTACAGTTGGTTTTTATCAAATTTATAGCCTGCTAACTATAAACAGACCAGAGTATACCACACCTCAAACTGCTACCTTGATTTTTGTATGTACACAAATAACTGAAACTCTTTAAAGCAGCGTGCAAAATGCCTGGTTGCCCAGTTGCCCCGGCCAACCAAATTTTACTTGGGGCAACCTATTTTTGAACCTAGGTAGCCCATGTGCCACCTGAATTTTAAGAATGCCCCCCCCCCTCAAATCATGCCCACTTGGCTTGCACCACTGTATTCGGCAGATGCTTTTTAATTTTAGGTATTAATGGCTATTACTATAGTATCAGTTAACTAAAGGCTGTTAGAAATATTGTCAAAGGCTTATGTATTATGTAACATTACTTAATTTGAGGAAAGTAGTAACTTATAGTTGGGGCAACCTAAAATTCTAAAGGGCAACCTAATTTTTGCCATAGGTTGCCCACTGGGCAACCTGGTTCAAAAAAGTATTTTGTACACTGTTAAAGTTTAAAGAAAGTCACTAATGGTGTTGTCACACTTAAAGTGAGTATAACCACGCGTTGCTACATTATATCCCTGCCAAATGAAGTCATTCTACAGTGTTAGGAACATGATTCCCAGTGCCGCGATGTGTCCGTGTGTCCTATGCGTGGCCAGAAAGTCACCTCTGAATATAGATGGAAGACTTTTCTGCCAGGCACAGATCAATATGTGTCCAGAAATGAAGCAGATTAGACTGCCCCCATTTCTATAATGGGCTAATGTGGAATATGTCTAGTCTGGCATGCTGCCCTCTGGCTGTTCCATCTGGCTGGGAGATGGAATTGTCTCTGTGAAATTTGAATGTTTGACCCAATAAACAGGAAATTACCAAGTTCTGGCTGTGCCAATGGCCTTGCCAGAAGAAATGGGTCAGTCTTCTTGAAGAAGGTCATAGCCAAAAAAAACTCAGATTCTTACCCCTTTCTTTTTTTCTCTCTTCAGGTCTTCAACTCTTGTCCTTAGACCACACCAATTTAATTTGTTGGTTCTCAGATTTTTTCAGAAGAAATATGAAGCGACCGGGTGAAAAAAATAAAAACTGAAAACAGGGTCTTGGCATTCTATTATAGCCTCAAATGCTACGATAGGAGCCATGAAGTCAACACAAAAGGCTGTGTTAATATTTAAACAATGAATTTTGTACTTTTAATAAAACCACTGCATTGATAGATGGAAAAACTGCAACAACTAGGAAAAAAGGACTTTCCTCAACTGTTGGGAGCAAAATATGAGCATTTTATAGTTGATTCAGAACCAGAATCTTTTTTTTTTGCAAATCAGAAAAAAATGAAAAGGCGAATCAGAGAACCAACAAATCAAATTGGTGTGGCCTTAAAACCTGAAATCTACCAAGTTGAACATTTTCATGACCATGCTATCTGTCTAGTCTGGCATGATGCCCATTGTCCTCACAGACATTTCCATTTGCCTGTGAGGCTGGAATGATATCTTATCCATTATCCACCCTGTGCTGATAAGTTTAACGCAGGCTGTAACACCTTCAGGCCAAGGGAAAATTTGCAAGAGATGTTCTCTCTAACCTCCTGTGTAGACTTTCTAGCAGGTAGCTTTCATTTCTACAAGCATGGCTGGAGTGCGGTGATTTTTTTAAAGAGCTGTATCCATCCGCTGATATGGCTCCCCCCTGAAAGCAAGCTGCCATACTGCCAGAAAGTCTGCGCAGAAGGCTACTCTCTCTCTTTTTGTTAGTTGGGGGCCTGCATGCCCTCTTCCGTAGAGCATAATGGGCCATTTTAATTGTCCGTAGAGCATAGGTGGACCTCTCTAATTTAACGTAGAGCGTAAATGGCGCATTTTGCGTAAAGCGTATTCGCCATTTGAATTCTACATAATGCGTTGTAGCATCTTGAAATTTATCGTAAACCGTAATCGAGAGGTTTCCGAATTCTGCGCAGAGCGTTGTCGGGACCCCCCCCCCCTATGCAGGCCCTCTTAGTTCATTGTATCTTGTACATGTATATCACATTTGTGATAATTGTACAAAATGACAAACAAATGACAGACATAATCTACCAAACTATGAGACACTGCATTTCCTGATTGGAATGTTGTATTCATATCATATTAACTTTTTTTTGCCAATTGCTTTCGATTCGATTACATGTGCATATGAAAACCTTCTTATACATGTACATGAACATCTTGTTCTTTGTTCACAGATACTAGCCCTTGTAGCGTTCATAGTTGCGGAGGCAGCGAGTTGCAGTTTCGGGTGCGGCCGGGGAGCCTTCTCGTTCTTCGAGTTTGTCACCATCACCTCCTTCCTGGTGGTTCTTGTCATTTTCCTCTGCATGGTCACGACAGCGTACCAAAAAGTCACCATAGTCCACTGGCCCCTCACGGTAAGTATTGGCTGGACTCTTGTGTTCTTGTCTTTGTGTAGAAAATGAGATAGGCACTCTGACATAACATGGCAATTCCAGCTCCTGTTACCAGGGCTCGAAATACTGGGTGCATGTGCACCTTAGTGCACCCAAATTTGGAGCTGTGCACCCAGTTTTTTTTCGCAGGTTTACATATGTAAAGATGTCAAAATTAATGTACAGTAGTATAAGCATATTTTCAACATCTATCAGTGTCAGAAATATATTCAAAAATCATTGTCACAGTACTTTTCTTCAAAAATGAAACAAAATTTGGATTGCTGATATTCTGCTTATTTCATCTTATATTTTATATTTTTAGGCTGGGTGCACCAGTGCACCTATTCCCAAAAATGACTTTTAAGCCCTGTGTTACACATATGACATGCTGTGTATATGTATGCAAGAGAGTAGAGGTCTCAAAAGTAACATAATGCTTTACGTAATGTGATGGTGCCGTAATCTTATCTCATACACTGTATGTCAGAGATGTTCTACTCACCCCATTAACTATTGTATCTGAGGAGTTGTATAACTGTACAGAGCACATAAGGAACCTGCTCCTATCATGTAATCTTCCATTTCACTGTGACACACCAGATGAGTAAAAAAGCCAAGGGCTGAACGTTGATGCCGAGTAGGAATTACACGCACGAGAAGATTGTTGGGAATGTTCCTTCTGTAATGCCTCTAGGACATACATGTGTATAAATTTTACTTTCATTTTGTTTAAGATCTGAAGAGGAGCAGTTAAGGAGATTTCAGAACTTACTAACAATGAAAAGGCTTTTGAATTATTTATTTAGGAATTACGTGATCAAGTCAAATAAGCTTTGATCCAATATACTGGAACAATTTCATGTTTGGCTGATGGCAAAACAGAGACCTGTTCACTCTTTTATCATACAACATCAAAAGCATTAAATTGTTTGAAGTAGTGAGCTGGAAGGTTTTGCTTATCGGGATTTATACTTTTGATCTTTTTCTGCTGCAGGTTGTAATACACAGAGTTGCTACATGTATCTTCCCCGAGGAACTGGTAGAATGTATGATTCGGCACATCTGTGAAAAAGTTGACACAGAAATTTTGATACCATTCCTTCTCCTTTGATCCTTCCTGATACATGTCACATACATTTTTTGTATACTGTGAATATAAATTTTACTTTTGCTGTGGTTTTATTCTCACAGTTTTTGCTGTGGTCTCTTTAACCGAATTTTGACACCGTGAATGTGTTTTGTACTTCTATTGTACCACACTTCAAACACTGGATAACCTCCTTTTTTCTGCATACTGCAAAATAAAAACAGCTGTGAAAGTAAAATGTATTTACAGTACTACTACGATGTGCAATATGATCAGTGTTAGGCCACACCAATTTTATTTGTTGGTTGTCACATTCGCCTCTTCATTTTTTTTCTGATTTGCAAAAGAAAAAGAAAAAAAGATTCTGGTTCTCAATCAACTAAAAATGCTCATATTTTGCCCCCAACAGTTAATGAAAGTCCTTTTCTTCCTAGATGTTACAGTTTTTCCCTCTATCAATGCAGTGTTTTGATTAAAAGTTCAAAACTCATTGTTTAAATTTTAACCCAGCCTTTTGTGTTGACTTCATGGCTCCTATCAAAGTATTTGGGGACATAATACGATGCCTAGACCTGTTTTTATTTCATTTTTTTCGCCCTGTCGCTTCATTTTTTTTCTGAAAAAATCCGAGAACCAACAAATTAAATTGGTGTGGCCTTATCATCTTGCTTTAGGAACTAGTCATGTACAGTACTAGTGTGCGTGCTAGCTATTTGTGTTGAAAAGAAAAATAAAGTAAAGAACTGGCAATAATCAGTGCTACCATCTTGTTTCAGGAGCTGATCACATGTATAGTGTGCGTTCTGGCGTATCTGATTGCCTCCAGTGTTCTGGCAGCTAATGTTAATGACGGGGCGGGTGGTGGTGCAGTGGTGAGTATCGCCTCAAACATATCTGATAAGTCAGTTTCTGAGAATCACAACCATCAAACATCTGTGATGTGTCGCACCATCTGAATAATATCGCTGCATTTCAAGTGCCAAAAACTCTGCAAATTTGTCTAGAAGAGGATAGAAGAGACTTTAGAAATAGATTAAGTATGGCATAAGTTTCTTACCTGAGTTATCAAACTTAAAGTTAACTCATTTAGCCAGGTCATAGTAGAGAGTATGTTTTGATTGGGATTTTTTACTGATAGTTGCTCTCTTCCACACCTGTAAGTCCTTGATTTTGCATGTATTGTGTAAAAATTAGAGATGTCCTAAATAATAATTATATCAAGGTTTCAAATGGTATGAAATATTATTGGGACCAATGGTTGTGGATGGAATTATCATTTACTCCCTTAAGCTATGCTACACAATCATGTACATATAACATAGAAATGACATACATGTGCACTGCAACAGCAAAATTATTCAGGGCAATAAAATTTCTACCATGTAGATAAACATCTAGCAGACTGACCTGTCCAGGAATACAGGTCACGTGATGGGAGACCTGTCAGCAGAATATTTATGTATTGCAGCAATCAATAGAAGCTGACCAGTATGCAGCATGAATTGTATGCAGGAATTCAAATCTCTAGTAGAGTGTACTTTTGAGTTTACCAAAAATCAAACAAATCCGTCAAACCCTCCGTGAGTTGTAGCTGCAAACATACATACACAGATCAAAACAATACTTTCCTGCAGAAGGATATCCCCTTCCCCGGAGGTAAAAAATAGCAGTTTACTCACTTCTCAGGCCATAGCAAATCTTATGGATGACATCCTCCGCAGATTACAAATCTAATGTGAGCGGGGAAAAAAAACAAGGTGGGCCAAAAAAACAAGGTTCCTACATTTTAAAATTTTGACTCAATCATTGTACAAATGATTCAGTGGGAACATCACATATACACAGCCAACATCACATACCTACATCAAAGTAAGAAATAAAACATTGAATCAGAGCCTTTTCTTGTCTCCGCTCTTCGTAGTTATCTGCCATCCACCTTCCAGCATGGCAACAGCCATCTTTGCCCATTTTCGGCATGGTGACCACTGTCAGAAGGCAACAAAATTTCTTGTTTTTTTCCCCAAAATCAGGCGGAAATTAATGCGCGCACTACTGATGTCATCCATAAAAATTATTTGATGTGGCCTTATTACCCTTCCATTCCCATTGAGGAAGACTGTTGGAAAATGAGTACAATTTTTCCTCCATCCCATCCTATCTTTTGTGTTCCTGAACTTCCTTTGCTAATGAATGGCTATAGCTGCACTTTGCAGTCTGTGTCTGCCGGATGCCAGCCTCATATCTACAGCTAAGCCTTTCCTGTGCTTAACCACCATCATTTTCATCTCTCCGTGTCATTTGCTAAAAGCGTGGATTTGCTCATGTACAACTAAAAGCTTCACACATCTTGTAATGATACTAGAGAGGTCAGGGTTACTTTAAAAACAGATTTGTCTTGGTATGGTGGGAAACATTACTAGAGATTTGTCTCAAGATGTGAGAGAATAAAGATTATGATTAACTGAACTTGACTTTTTGTTGCAGTATGGACAGAAATCACAGTTTTCTAACTTAAATGTAGATTGAATGTCTGAACTCACATCATCAGACACTTCTTTCTCTCCCTCAACAGTTTTGTTTCTTGTCCCTGTTCAAAATTAAATACTGTGCTATAATTGCAAGGGGTAAACATTACTAAGTCTCCACAAAATCAAGAAATGTCTTACACGTCGGCTGTTGTCTCTGAAAGAAAAACAAAACAGCTCAATTTTAATGATGATGATGATGATGATGACTGGTTTATTTCACATAAAACATACACAGATTAAAAAGTCAATGGCAGCCTAAATGGCTGAATTGTCGACCTCTCACAATTTAAAAGTTTGAAGAAACATGTGCCATAAATGCAGACTAACACATGATTTACAATATCGATGATCCAATAAAACTGTTCGGCCATAATAACATCTGGTATGTTACAAATTATGTGCCTAAAAATTACATATTGTTCAACAGCTTTGTCATATAGTAGATCGAGCTCTTTGTAAATCTTACAGTTCTGGGTCTGAGAGTTAAGTCAGGTTGATAGATTGTCTGTCAGAACTTGCATCACCAAGGACTTCTCCTCTCTTCCTCCACAGGGCTTTGGTTTCTTGTCCCTGCTGGCATTCGTAGCCGGAGGGTACTTTGCATTCCGAGAGTGGCAGGACGAGGCGAGGCCGCGTCTTCCCGTGAACAGGAGGGGGAACTACGTGCCGGCGGAGGAAAATGAGGAGAACGAAGACTTGTAACTCACCACCTGTGCTGTCCCTTATGTGTACATGTTTATATAATATTATACATACATACACCATCTATAAAGGGCCGACACAACTAGATGTGTATCACTGGCCAATTTGAATTTCTGAAGACACTCAGATATTTAAAAAAAAGTGTGAGGTTGAAGAAATGGCTTCACACGTTGAATACTTATAACAGAAACGAAGAAATCATTTCATAGAGGGAGACATGTTTTTTTCAATTGACATGTGAAGGTTATCTCCAAGCAGACGTTGGGAGGCAAAATTGTGAAGCCTTTCATGCTCCCCGCTTCTGCTACAAACTGTTCGGAACAAAAATGGGGAACAATTTTGCCTCCCAAAATCTGCTTTGGAAGAGATGTGAAAGTTGACAGGCACATACAACAATACCGGTACTCTGAAATCCAAGACACATTTGTTTCTCCAAATTTTCAGTCTCTTTCCTGATTTAAAACTGGCCAGTGTCAAACTCTTCATAATAGGTTGAAACAGTTAGAAAAGCTGACAAATATTCAAAACCTTTTGACATTTTATGCTGAACTACCTTTGTCCTGTTGACCTGTGAAGTCTGACAACTTTAAACATGTGAATCGAATCCAGTACTATCTGGAGTTACGTAGGTAAGAATGGCAGTCAACTTATTTTTCCATATACTGGTACGTGTAGGAATTGGTGGATTGGAATGGGATAAGGTTTAGATTTAATGTCTGTATCATGGTTGTCAGGTATAGATATTACTGTATGTCTGTCCATGCTCACCAACAACATAAGCTTTCATCCCCAAATAGTTTCCTAACAGAGAGCACAGAGTCTCCAAAAAAGCCAGTAAATATCTTACAGGTATTAAAATACTATCTTTCAATAGGTCTACTGAAAACAATGAACGTGTTCAGGTTTTGCTAGTATACATACAATTTAGATATGGTGAACCACAGTCTGCTAGCTTTGCTCATGTTCCCAGAACGCTGATTGTTTTCAATTGTAGCAGATCCAGTGGTGAGCCTACTGAACCTAAAATTCATGAAGCTGTGTGCAACCTCCATTCCAACAGATAGCCACTGACAACTTGTCATTTTTGAAGTATGAATGGGGACTGCATGAAAAGGCGCTTCATGACCCTTCAACCTTCGATATTCTACCCTTTCACAACTGATGGATTTTCAAGTGATGTTTTTGGCATCTTTTTGTTTCACAGAAAGATCTGTTGGGAGGTGAAATTAGCTTGGCTAGAGGGCTGCAGAAAAGTGGTTCTGTAGGGAGGTTTTCAAGTGTTCGATCACTTGAAAATGACAGAAAAAAAAAACATTTTTGCCTTGGAAGTTTTAGGTTTGAATGTACAGGTATGTTTTAGCAATTAGGCCATGTTGATTTGATTATATGGATGACATTTGCACGCACGTGAATTTTTGTCCGTTTCCAAAAAAAAGTCTTCAACCATACTGTAAATCAAACAAAATGATCGAATATATGTCATATGTTGCAACAAAAAAAAGAAAGGAAAACGATACTAATGTCATAGAATGCCGAAATCATTCAGGAAAAGAAGAAAATGTGAAGAAATGAAAATGAAAAGTCTATCATTATTCGCCATACCATACTCTGTGTGTTTGGTCATTTGTTCAACCTTTATGACCACCTAGATTTCATACATGTAATGAAGGTAACTTTTTTTTTGCCGAACTTTTTTTTTATTTGCACGCTCACATCAGTTTTGTGGTTCCCAGAGGATGTCATCCGTATAATCAAATCAACATGGCCTTAATAACACCTGGAATAGCCCTTTCCCATTGGTAACACCTGCATCCCTAGAGCTCGCCATGTCATGTCTTTTTCACCGAGAGAAAATTGCCCGTCATTTGGATTCTCGACCACTCTTGTGGCTTGATGACAGACTGTTTCTGTGATGACAGTTTTCAGCATTTAAGATTCCTTGCACCTACTCTATTTGCCTCTGTCAACATCATAATACAATTTGTATTCATGGAATATTCACACTGTTACAAAATCACCTTGCAGCATAACCATTCAAGCAATTTTGATCAGATGTACATACATGTATGATCTGAATTTTCCAGAAAAGGATTTTATGATACCATAGTTGTTATAAGCCATAGTTAATTCCTTCCCGTGGCAATCTAATATTCAAAAGTGGGTCGAAATCAAATTATGCAGTGTTGTTTGGAATAAGTTGATTTTAGATCAATATGTTTGTGTCAGAAAAAAAGCCCAAGCGTAAGTTGGTATTGCAGGTACCACCAGAAAGTATAGATACCGGTAGTGTGTAACATGTAACTGGGGCTGTCTTGATACTGTTGTGTTATGGTGAACGTCAGATTTAAAAAGAAATGAAATATTACCCACATAATATGAATTATCTATATTGTAGTTAGCAAATAAGTCTGTTATTGTAGTTAATATTATCAGCCTTGTAGGTTTCTTTCTAAGACAAAATTACATATATGGTCCAAACTGTTAACCAGTCCCATAGCCTTCTTTAGGCGTGATAGCCAGTTTTTGGTCAGTGTACATTATTTTGTGTTGGAAAGAAAGTGTGATTTCGGTCATAGGTAAGAAGCGTCCGGGAATACAACATATTTGCAAAGTCAAAGACACTATTTAGATCAGAGGGTATATGAACCTGTGTAATATGAATCTGTATGATGATTGTCAAGTCAACCCACCTTGATATATGTAGACAGGATTCTTTTTCTATGTGCAGAAACACCACAGGTATCCCCTATATCCCCTACATGTATTTAAAGGGTTTAGCAATGACAGCTTTTTGTTCCATAATATTTATAGACTAACTCTGACTAATAACATGTTGTGCAAAAAAGGAAACTTGTGAAATATGTAATGGCACATTCATAATTTGCACAGTCTATCAAGTATTGCTCTCCAAAATGTATCTGTGCTTTAATTGCAGCATTTTATTGCAATGAATGTTGTTACCATTATTGTCATTTCAGTTGCCAAGATCCAGTGCTCTATGCAGCTTCTTACTCCAAATGGCAAAGTATGTTTCAATGCCTGTCCCTTTTGGAAGCTTTGAATTTCATGTACTCTCCAAGCAGAGGTTGTGGGGGAATGATCGTTACCTTTTTATATAATGGCCGTTTTTTTTGTCACTACCCCCACCACCGTCAGTGGCCGGCGACCTTCTCTGGCTAATGGATGCTGCCTGGCCAATTTGGTTCTGTCTTTTTGCCACCGAAAGGGATCTGCTTGGAGATAAGCTTTCATGTTCACTTCAATTGATATGCGGTGTGTGTATCTGTGGCTGGTCATGGACTTGTGGAAAACATGTTATGGTAGAATAGAATTCTGTGGAAAGTGAAATATAGGTTGTGACATTACCAGAAGACTTGTTTGATGGACCAAGTGCATCCTAGTCTTCCCTAAATCCTTATCTGTATAGCACCAACATTCTCCTTGCTGAAGGTAGCTTCTTGGTACTGGCTCAGTGGCAGAGAGAATGTTGAAAGTAAGGGATAGTTCAATTGTCTGTATATGTTACGAGGAACGGGTGTGACTTTGAAATTGCAGTGGACTGAGTTTCAAAGCACAAAAGATTCGAGTAGTCTCTAATTTTCACCCATCAGTGGTCATCAAACAATGTTCTTTGATTGGTTTGGACTCAAGATGTATGAAATCAGAGGAAAATGACTCAACTGGCTATGGGATATAATGGAAGTGACAGTGTTGTACATGTACGTGTTAGCTAGCTGTGTTTTGCACATGTGGAACTGTAGCACACAAGGTAGCGATGCAACTATTTTCTTACACTGGTGTACTTTTAGGCCGATATCACTGCCGCTGTCAATGTTAACTTTGTATACATGTATTTACGAATTACTATTTGCATATAAAAAGCCATAGAATTGCTCACAATAAGGTGTAAAGGTTTTAATATGTCAGATTTGTGCAAAAGTACAGTAAATAGATAACAGGAAAGTGCCTGGTGGGCTTTTTCTGCCTGTAATATTGGGCCCAAATGTCTACTGTTTTAAGGAAACTAACATAGAACCATCCTTCAATGTGCTAGATACATAATAAACTTCACTGCAGACAGGGTATACACATACCATAACACACTCTCACCATTGATGTGGTTACCATGCAATGTATTGAAGATGTAGGAAAAAGGGGCCTCCCTCAGATTGCAAATGTGTTCGATATCAATTTTGATATACAGAATTGGAAATGTCTTGGGCCTTTGATGGTTGTGACAATTCAAGAAAAGGAGTAAGTTTAAAAAAGAAAAAGTACAGAGGCACCTGTTTTTCTACTCAGTAGACTGCAATTGTGGAATTGTAGCTTGAAATTAGTACAAGTATTGATACAAGCCTACCTTCTCTATAAAGCAATTAGGCTAGGCTTGTCACAAAATTGACACGTTTATATGATCTGACAGAGTCGTTATGTTGTGACAAAACATTAATTTATTGTTTAACTCGCTATTTAACTAGTATGTTAGATTAATTAACTAATTCCTGTCCAATTCGTGCAATCATTGTGAGAAGTTAACACTATAATATATTTTCATTTGTCTGTCCTGTAAATACCCATGTACAATGCCACAAAATTTTCAATAAAAGATTTTATTATGGACGTCGTGTGACTAGTTGAGTTTTATCCTTTTCATTTTTTTGTATAACCAATATTGAATGAATTGATTGTTTGATTTGGCCTCAGAAATGAGTGCAAAGATTGAATACAGGCAAAAATGTAGCTGTCCCTGTACTCCCCTCTGAAAGTAATGGTACATCCTACTCAAACTTTTACAGTTCAAAGGTCACAAAATATAACGGTGCCTTGACTGGGAGGGGTGTGTTTGTATGCCACAGTTTACAGCTACTTCTTCGCGGATTTCTTAACTTTAGCCTTTCCTTAAGACATCTTCAGGATGGCAGACGCAGAACAGCAACCTCAGCAGAGCCTTGTTAGGCGGTTTCTTAACTTTGGGTACCTCAAAACGCCCCAAGGAATTTGTAAAGTTGCTGAACTGGTGAGTCAGAATTTGGAGCCACTCCTTTCTTAGCTCACACTTGCACGTTGTTATGTTAGAATCGTGCAGGTTTTCTGTGGAAAATTGCTACGAATTCCACAGAGGACGTGCAAGCGAGTTTGCTTCTGCTTGATTTACACAACACTTATGTTGGTTGAGCAAAGTCAGAGCGTGTAACGTGTTATTTGTTATCGATGGAGTTTACTTTGTGTACGCACAAGAGTCACTATACTAGAATTTAGAGTAGGAATATTTTCTTTCCCTAAGTTACAAAGTTAAGTGTATCATTATCACCCTATTTTTCTTGTCTGAGTTACAGAGATCTAGAGAGTCTGTAGTTTTGTCATGTTTTCTTAAAATACCGATCAAAGTCGTCAAAGTTATATTACCCACAAAACGGTTAACGTTAACGTTAGATGTTTTCAGTAATATTCTCTTCCGGTCTGGCAGGTCCTAGACCTGTGTGTGGATCATCATTGATGACCAATCTCCAGTTCTGTAGACAACTGTTCATGCCTCCAGTGATATTGATAATTTTGTACTTACATATTTTTTAGTAATTTTTACCCAATATTTCTGGTTGACAGGTCCTAGGGGTGAGTGAATGAGAGTGAGGTCCTAGGCCAGTGTATGCACTGTGTGCGTGGACCAGTTTTGTAGACAACTATTTGCAACTCAAGTTTAGATAATGTTGTACTTAATTTTTTCTGGTTGTCAGGTCCTGGGCCTGTGTACGTGGATCATCATTGTGGTGCACGCGTACGCAGGTGTGCAGGTGTACGTCATGTTCGTGGCCGTGGCCAGCTGGCTCATCACGCTGCTCGGACTCCTGCTCTTCATGTGCGGCATTCATGAGAGGGTCCAGTTTGTTCCCTGGCAACACACGGTCAGTATGGCTCAAATAAGGTAGCTAGACGTTTCGCCGCCAGACGGTTTCGCGGTCAGACAATTCGCGGTCACTTCCTGGTCGTATAGCGGCCACCGTGTACACGCCATATAGGCTGCTACAATCACTGTCTGTTGCCAAGATAACTTTTAAGGACTGCTGTATTTACACAAAGAGGTTATAGTCTCCAAGATATAACTTTAACCTCCTTGATTTCCACACCTTATGACTGTTTTTAAAACTGTTTTCTAACATTACATAACATAACGTCTTATTTGTGAACCAGCTGGAATATTACCCAAAAAGGGCTGAAAAAGTACACAAAATATTTTCATCACATTATCAAATTTTTATATTTACAATCTTTATTTTTGCTGTCTAGAAACACGACAAAACATGTTGACAGTGAATAATAAATGACCCGGAAGTGAATGCGAATCGTCTGGCTGTGAACTCGTCTGAATTGTCTTACCTTGGAATGTTTATATTTGGGGTGTACATGTTGCTAAGGTTTGGATAAGAATTGTATGCAGTGTCATTACAATACTATATAAGCTATAATTCAATATCTATGTATTTTCCACAGGAGTTGGGATACAACACAGGAGTGACAGTGTTGTACCTGATTGCTGCCATCTTACAGGTGGCCTTCGCTGGCAGCAGCGATGCCTACAAGGCTGCAGGGGTGAGATTTTTTTATTGTGTACTCACCTGTCTATTTCTTTCTGTCTTTCTGACGGTACAGTACAGAGTAACAGGGTCCCTGTAGGACCCTGAATTGATCTGCCGCATTACACAGGTTATTAAAAACAATTGGCACAGGTATTAAAAGTAATTATTAAAAACATTAATTAAAAGTAGTTACAATAGACTGCAGTCGTAGTCAAACATATACCAAGTCATGACAGATTGTTGTTTTTGTTCAGTAGTCTTACGAGGTAAGGTATGCTACTGTTTCTAAACCTTTCAGTTCTAGTTCTGATGATCTCAATCTAGTTCTAATGATCTCATTCTTATTCTTTCTAAGCAGAGTTTTGGGTTTTGGCTTATTTTTGACCAGTTTTTAGACTTTTTTATCGGGCTTTCTTTCTTCCACCGGTGTCTTTTTTTTACGCCAACATTGTCCCTATGATCTAGTCTTGCCCTATTTCGATCCACCAAAGAAGGTAACAAATTAAATGATTTTTTTCTTGTCAGGCATTTGCCTTCTTCACGACAATCGTGTACGGGATTGCGGCGTTCTTCAGCTGGCGACAGTGGCGTGGCAGCCGCTCAGGGGGCGGAGATCAGACCGTGGAGAAAACACCTGGTGCTATCTAGACTCATCCACAACTCATATGTTAGATCTGCCGGGAGTCTACTTGGGATACTTTATCTACATTTGTGATACAAAATGATGAACATTGTTTCATCAAAACAACATATAAGAAGTGTTTTCTAGCCATCATAGGCCATATTCTTAATATTGGGATTATGGGTGCCATTACAACTTGTGTGTGGCCCTTGCATAGAATTTTGCTTCCCACCTGCATTACCCAGAGTTCCCTATCTTACAACATGTACCCAGCATGGAATCCTGGGTGTTTAGCACGCAAGAAGTGTGAGATTTTATTTGTTTCTATTGTCAAGTGAGATAAAATTGAATGTGTATAGAAAATAGCCCATTGTCCCTGGGAATCATTTGATTGTTGTAAGTCAACTGTGGGTTAGTCACCTACAGAAATCTGTGTTTGATATAAGTTATTATTCAGCATGATACTTGGAGATTATAGTTCATGCTAGCAAATGGCAGTTATGTTTAGACAAATGTGGAACAACTTGGTGCCATATAGGATAGTCTGTCTAGCCACTATGATATGGTTTTGTTCTTGGTATGTCATTAAAAAAATTGCAGGATTATAGATTTGCTGTGAAAGCTATTTTAGATACACATACTTTTTAAACAAATTAGAAGATTTTAACCAACTTCTTAAAGCAACTTGGGGGAAAGATTTTAACCAAAGTTAATGTGTACATCAATGTATACAATCAACTTCTTGGAACAATCCCTCTCTTTTCACAACCGATGATGTTTGTTTTGTATGTGTGACATATGTTTTTACTGGGTGGCTGAAAGACCATGATGTACACATCAGTCACAGACATGATTATAGGTACATGTATAGGTAATGTCAGCTATATTTATACTGGTACTATCTAAAAGCAATTTGATTTTGCAGTGAAAAAGTTAAGTGTGATGTTGTGATTTTTTGGTGGACAATTCCCACAGAAATCTAGTATAGTGTAGAAATTATTGGAAGGGAAATATAGTTTGTATCTCATATAACATCTACATGCCATATGTCTACATGCTTGATATGTCCCTGAATAAAAAAAATGGAAATACTCTCAATTCTGACTTTTCTAATCTTTTTCTGCCCTGGGCTTAGTCTTTAAGTTAGACCATGTAGCTAGACTATGTCACCATGTCTTTGCAAAAGGGAAGAAACAGAAAATTAGAAAAGTACTCAACAATTTATTTGTCAAGATAAGAAAATAATTTGCTTCATACAATACAATACAATACATATCATGACATTGGTTGTCACATATTCATAATTCTTTTAAAATACATTGTAGCAGCATAGCATATAGATTTTTTGAACAACAGTTTCACAATATTGCATAATTTTCAATTTTCCAACTGCTCTCAACATTCAAAATATCACGTCACATTACATTAATATTGCACTTTGTGAATATAATTTCATCTTAACATTTTCAAACAACGTTGTCATGCAATTTTACATAATATTACAAAATGACAGTACAACATACACAACAATGTTAAAATGCATTTTTCACACACAATTCAGATCATAGATCAAATTTAGACTGATGATGCCATAGACAAGTGGAATTTGAGGTGGTTCTTGTTGTTACATCAGTATCGCTTTAGAAAACTGGTGTTGTAAGTTCGATGAGAGCAGCCTTGTGGGATGGACTGAAGGTCAAAGTTCACTGGCAGTACTGCTGGTAACATGCCACAAGGAGGTCTGGGAGGGGGAGGCTGTCCATCATCGTCATCAACACCACCTGCAGGTCCAGAATGCACCTCTCTACAGCTGGGCAGGTGTTCATCCTGGGGAGGGGGGCATGACAGGTGTCAGTCAAATCTTTTAATGAGAGAAATGATCATATGCACCCAACAGTCTTGAAAACTAATGGAGCAGGCGGGCAAAAAATAAATAAATAAATAAATACAGGCCTAGGCATCCTATTATGGCCCAAAATGGTACGATAGGAGCCATGAAGTCAACGCACCAGGCTGGTTCAAAATTTAAACAATGAACTTTTAATGATACCACTACATTGAAAGATGGAATAACTGTAACAACTAGGAAGAAAAGGACTGTTTTCAACTGTTCAGGGCAAAATATGAGCATTTTGCAGTTGATTCTGATTTTTTTTTTTTTTTCAAATCAGAAAAAGAATGAAGCAGGCGAATCCGTTAACCAAGAAATTAAATTGGTGTGGCCTAAAGATGAAAATACAAAGTGATCTGAGAGACTGGCAGTGAATCTGGACAGATGCATTTTGTCTTACCTCATGTTGTTGACGAGACTTGAGGCCAAGTTCAGCGCTGCGAGAGCGAGGCTGGAGGGAGCGTGTTGACAGATGACGTAGTCCTGCAACGATGTCACCAGCAGGTGTCTGGCCAGACAGCTGGTCAGCTGGTCGTACTGCCCGTGCGCTGCCAGGTGCTCCAGGAACAGGATGGAGGTGGGAACGGTCAGGTGGAAACCAAGCGTACTCAGGACTCGTCTCTCCAGCTGTGTAACAAGGAAAGCAGGGTCAGTTTTAAAACAGAAATAATGGTGCAACTCAGGAAACAAAGCTGATGAAATTTAAACTTACATGAATATTCATATAGTACAGGTGGGAGGTAATTTTCTGGGTGAGAGATAAACATAATATGTTTTATTTCTTCCTTGTACTTCTAACTACCTACTTCTAACTAACTACTGTTTTCCCCCTCACCTATCTCGTAACTCTTTCATACTATGAACAACTCTATGGTTTAACCTCCCTGCTGCCTAACTCTATAACCAATAGAGAATAACCACTGGACCCCTTTGCAGACTGAATAGATACTCAGTCACAATTTGATCCTTCTATGGCTGGCTAACTCTCGCCAATTTACAGAATGATGTATACACCCTTATTTCAACTATCTATTCAGCCTGCAAAGGAGTCTAATGGAGACTGGTGTTGAAGGTTAATTATGATACTGACCATTCTGAGCTGTCCACGGGTGTACTGGCCTTCATCACACATAGCAACAACCTCCTCGGCACACAGGGGATGGACCTCCTCCTGTAAGGACGTACATGGGAAAAGTCAGATAACGTTACAAACAAACCCAAACATCTACCTACACAACTAGTGGTATTTCACAAGGTCTAAGTGAAGTTGCAGTTAGCATGGAATCTGCAAGGGGGCATAGGTTTGATTATACCTTCCTTAGACCAGGGCCTACAAACAAAAGCACAATAATTTCAGCAGTCAGCAGTCATAATCATTCTGTTCCTGTAACCCAGGGGACAACAGATGCAATACTGTGACTTATATTTCAACACGTGCTGCACAACAACTGTTGATTGGCAATGTAAATGTTTGAATCACTATTGATATAGGAATACTAGCTCTACTTTTCAACTTGTTATACTCTATTTACCATTTTGGCAGCGATGAAAAGTGCAGTGGCCCCAAGAAGCTGTAGGCAGTCCAGTCCGAGCGGTGTCACGGCCAGGAAACGGTCCACGATGTTGACTGCAAGGAACAGCGTCTCCGGTAGGAGGCGTGGTCGCACGGTCTGACACACTTGCGTCAACCATCGGACAAGAAGGCCTCGCATCTCAGGTGTGATCTGCAAGAACGCAGAAAGTAACGAAATTAGTTCTTGTTTCATTTTTACCACACATTTCATAAAATTGTAGCCTCCAAAACCTGCCAATTGAATGAAATACCGATATAAATATCAAACCAATTTCACGATCTAGTCTGTTGCTAAGCAAACTAAAAACTACATGTATAATAAACATACAACGTGCAGTACTGTAAACAAACGAAAAATCGATCAAAGTGGAAACTAACAATCATATACATAGATTAAAGAGTGTCCTATTACCTGAGGTTGGTTGTTGAGAGACTGAACAGGATGAAACTTGACTTCGTTGCTCTTCATCATGAGGAACCACTCGTCCAGGTAAGTCGGGTCGGCAGGAGCCAGCGGCGCCGGGCTATCCACGACCATCTGGTCGGGCACACTCCACTTGGGCGCCGCGGCCTCACTCGTGAGGGCATCGGTGCATCCAAGCATTGGACTGACATCATAGATGTCCTGTGGAAAAGTTCAAATTATTATTACAAGTGTTTTATGAACCCACCAATAGGTTTGCTATAAAAGTTCCTATAATTAATCCATGTAAATCGCAGAATTGGCAAACAACCACACGATAAATTGATCTGCTGTTTGACTTCTGATAGTACTACATGTACTGATGTTGTAGAAGAACATTGTAAAACGAAACATCGTTGATCTATGATCTATATAGTGTATTTAGGAATCCGATCATAATGTCACAAGCGCCGATTGTTTAATTCGATCACGTACCTCGCAATGATCTGAGTCCGATGTCTCTCCGTCACTACCACGCCGGGACTGGAACTTCAGGGCAGGCTTCATGGCGATCGCGGACGGAAACATTGTAATCAGAGTGCCGTAAACAGCTGACGAAAGTGGCAAAGCTTTACTGAGACGTTGGACGATCTCGAGATGTTGTCAAATCCACGAGGAATGCTAAGGATCCATCGAAAATGTCCCGATTTATACCTGAAAAGGCAGACGGCCCAGTCTGGCAGACGATCGTGGTGTCTCGCCACCATGTTTCCCGCCAAATTCGCACATTTAATCCTGTGTTCTGATTGGTTGGTTGGCTAATTGCCGACAGACACACCTGGTCCGTCTCTGTCTGGACAATCTTCAGTCTGCTCTACGATTGGTCAGTCTAATAATGCTATCAACGAATGGCGAGACCCTGTGCATTCCTAGTCACTGCCAGGCTTCGCGAAGCAGCTGGAAAGAGTAGAAATTGCCCAAATACTGAAATAGACAGGGGAATTGATCCGCGGTATTAAAGAGAACAGTTCATTTCGTGAGCGTTAAACCGTTCTTTTAGCGCGGACCAACTCCCCTGTCTATCTGAGCAATTTCTACTCTTTCCAGCTGCCTCTCGAAGTCTTAGCGCATTCCTGCATACCAGATAACGTGGCATAATAGAAGCGCAGAGACTGCAGTTTGTCAGTCCAAACAATTGGGTAAGTCAGAGCAAGGAGGTTCAAAAGACGTTTTCCTGGTATGTAGATGAGATAGCACGAGTTTACCACTTACTGTGGAACGTTGACGTTGAAATGATTTGGCCACGTTTTTGTCATCATTTATTCGCTGCAACCAAGGAATGTAAAGTTAAACCATGTATTTCGTATAAAGATCGCTAGATGTCGCTACTGCATTGTACACCTGTCGAGTCTCACCTTTACCATATATGGAAACCATAATCATAGATAGAACTCTTTCATCTCCAAGCAGATGTTTGAAGGAGATACGACGGACAAATATTACACTGTTCAATAGTATCCTCCAGGAATAAATGTATAAAATGTAGAAAATCTATGTCCCTCCTGACTACCTACACCTAAAACAGTACCATATTATACAAGATCTTCTGAAGTCCGATTATCACTTCAGAAATTATTTTAATAAAATGTGTATGTATCTATAGTTTATTTATAGTTTATTTGTATTTATATGTTTGTACAGCTATTTTCTAAGGGTGTCACCTGACATAAGAAATTCATTCAATTTTCATATAAGTAACAATAGGGAACGATATATTGTATTATGATCTGTTTATTCAAATATCACACCATTGCACAAAGTCAGTATTCATCAGCATCACAGATTGGAATGACAGCAAATTACCAAAAACATTTGCAAAACAGCTTTGAAGCATAGCAAACTGATTACAAGTGACAGTAAGCATACATTGGTATTACATCTGGGTTTTTTTAGTACAGTGGTATTGGCTTACAGATGAGTACTACATGTATAATGCAAATATGAAAAGTAAAGTCTCTATAATCTCATCCAAATACACATTTCACAATACCAAAAGCTCTACTACATGTATCAGATCATATTTCAGAGTTGATCCATACAAGTCTGACAACACTTTTTTTTGACAACACTTACAAATTTTCTGTAAATTTACAAACGTTCATAGAAGGAGCATTGTCACCATCCAAAAATACATGTTGCCTCTTACAAAAATATAGCTGTAGTTCACTGATATTGCTTGTGCAGCCTTCAATAAAACTCCCTTCCACAGAGGAAAGCTACCTCCCTGCACATCATTTGGAAATATACCTTATTGCTCAGTCTCTATTTAAAAACTATTGTAAAAGCTGCAAACCAGCAGTTTATAGTACCCAGCTCACACCTACTTCCCACAAGTCCTTTTATTAAAAGCTTCTTGTATAGACAATGGCAGCCTGTCGGCAGAACGTACTGCGCCTGTGCGAAACCCCATTTTTACACAGTTTTTGCTGGATTTTTGGTCAACATTGCATCATCATTTTGCCTGTTGCAGACAATATCTTTTCTGATATAACATTTGGAAACTACAGTCACGATGTTAACCTTATATGCACAAATACGACCTTATATGAGACGTTCTGCTGAAGTGATATGCATAGTACATTATGGGTTTCGCCCAGGTGCAGTACGTTCTGCCGACGTGCTCTCCACTACCATTGTAATTACCATCTCCTCATGCATTAAAATTTATTTCATTTTAAATCCTCTAAAAACACCCTCTTTACATGTTTAAGTAACCTATAAACCCATCAGCTCCCTACAGTGTACTATATTTATGTTGATCAGGTCCACGTTTCTAGTCATACTCGGAGCCGATGGTGATGCTCATCTCGTCTCCGATGATCAGTGTCTTGTGAAACCATTTGTTGGTGTCCAGCACAACTGGGGGGAAAATGGTCAAGGTATATTATTAATATATTTATATATCATATAAAACTAGTAATGTGTACCTAAACCCCCATTAGGTTCAGGTCCGGATTCAAGTCCGGGGGTTTAGGTTCAGTTCCGGACTCGTAAGTCTGGACCTAAACCCAGGGCATGTTGATAACCTTGCAATGTTGTTTGGGCAAAACTGTGGCCACATAACATGGAGGCTGACACTTGATGATACCCGATGGCAATGTCTTCTTCATTTTGCAGCACAGAGTTTGCAATGTATGGAAGGTTTTAGATGATTTAGAACGAAAAGGGGTATGTGACATGTTTTCTTTTTGTAATAAGTCCGGAACTGATTCCTTCCTTTTAGGTTTTCTTAGACTTGAACCTAAAATTTTTGCAAGTCCAGAATCGGTCCAGAGAACTGGTACACAGCACTATATAACACCAATACTAGTATATCAAATTAATTTCTTGCATAAGAATATGAAAGAACATCTACACACACACACTCACAATTACAACAACTGCTGGTAGAGCTCTACCAAAGTAGAAAGTGGTGCAACAGGTTTGTATCATAATGATATAAATACTCACTTATTTCTCCTGGGTGTACTGTAACCTTCAGCGTGTGGGGACACTCAAAGTAACACTCCGGCGGCGGCTCAATCGTCCACACCTTTGTCCCTTTCACCTGAGCCTGCCAGGATGGTTTGTCCACTGCGTCAATCTGTTGGACACACAAATTGACCACAGTCATTTATTACCGGTACTTTTATAGTACAACTGTACTGTACATACTGAGAGTGGATTCTCTCTCTCTCTCTCTCTGTCAGTCTGTGGATTGATCCTCAGCTACTGTAACTGACATCTTTCACACTACAGTCATCCTTGTGGATTGTGTCTTTGTAATACTGTACAGTCTGTTATTTTATACTTTGTATGCCCATCATTGCCTGAAAAAAGGTTTTATTCAATCGGAGTGTAGTTGCTGGTGAAATAAATAAACTGAAACTGGAGCCACATCATTAAGTTCCTTTGAAAGGTCCCAAAAGATCTCCGCATATCAAGATTTGTCAAATGTAACTTAACCTCATTCTCCTGAGGCAGAGGTGCTTCCACAGTGTAAATCCTAAGGCTAATGTATTTGCCGCGGGATACATGTAGCTCTGCCATGGGAGAATGCTTAACCTATGCTGACAACTGACTTAGAAAGTTAAAGGTTGGCCTTTGGTCTGTTTTCTATGCTGTAAGTTGCTTTTTGCTGTTAACCCTCTAATACAGTACGGGTTGCCAAACAGTAACTTCAGTGTACTAAAGGTTAAAGGCAGAAAATAAAACATGCAGGACAGAGTAAAACATGAAGAATGCATCATGGTCAGCGTCATGTGTAAATCTGTGTTCAATTTCGAGGTCAAAAACAGTAAAACTTTTTACATCCTTCTTCCCGAGGTGTAAACCTGCTGATAGTTAATGGTTTATTGATAAAACATGGAACAAATCGGCCTTGCAGTAAAAACTGAATTGTACTGAAGTTTACAATCAACATATTAAGTAAAACCAACACAATAGGCTATTATAGTACATGTATGGTGTAAACAGCACAATAGGACAAAGGTAAAAAGAGAGTTTACATGCAGGTGGGCTCCGTATCCGGGACTTCCCATGAAGATCCAGTCAGTCTTACTGGACTCTGCCTCGGTGGGGAGGAAGTACGGTCGCTCGTAGTGACGCCGCAAATCATTGGCCGCTGCAGCATCGCAGTTACTCCTGGTGACAGAAAGGAATTGAGCTGATTGGTCACTGAGATTAGGTCATGCAAAATAAGAAATCAAATACCAACAAAACTTACTTTCAAACAGTGTTGAGGGCAGGTTGTGTTGTCGGTTGTGGTATACATGTAACTGTTATAGTGTTTTGATGGAAGGTGGTAGTAGACTTAGACACTAGAGCTTAGCCTCTGTCAGGTTCTGGGAAGTGGCTGGAAAGAGCTCGGAAGAGCAGAAATTGGCTAAATTCACAGATAACATGCCAGAGGAGTTGGTCTGCTGAAGAGTACAGTTTGCCAGCTACCTAGGGGGCCTAAACCTGCGTCAATTTTTCCCCAGCACAAATTTTGTGACCCTAGCACGCCCAGATCATGAGATATTAAAACCGAAAGTTCCGCTGCAGTACCACAACAAGCTGCCAGGGGGCCCAAAATCTAATCATTTCGAGGTCTTATTCAGACCTACCCACCTACCAAGTATGAAGACAATCCATTTAAGCCTTCTCGAGTTATTGTGTTTACAGACAGACAGACAGACACACACACACACACAAATGCCTCTGAAAACATATTAACCTTCTTGACGAAGGTAATAATTGGAAGATTTAAATTGGACCCACCATCCAATGTACCAAGGTTCCGATCCGTCCTCCAGATTGGCCCGTTCCTTACTCATGTTGAAGACGTCTCCCAGGCTCTCGAAGTTTGTCTTGTACGGGAAGAACTGGCAGTTGGACTCCTCGTTCAGTAAGGCCGGGCTGTCTGGCTTGTAGACCGACTTGAAGTAGTCAAAACTGAAGAACTCTGAGGCTGTCCAGTTCTGAGTCCCATCCTCCACTATCACAGGTCGTGCAGTGTAGGCATACCTGAGCAAAAGACTCTGATGTCTTATCTATGTCTATACCAGATGTAGTCCTCTCACTATCTTATATGATATGATTCAATTTGGTGTTTTACCTTGTTGGGAGAATATCAACGTCACCAGTTTGGCAGCAGAATTCTACAATATTGGATTTATCATTTGATTAAATCACGATATTCCAAATATGATGGTAAGATCGTTTATAGTACGATGTTGTAGTTCCGTACAAACATTGCCTTGGCCGTACCACGTCACTTTTGCTTATACCCTACAATGTTGCCTTCCAAGTTCAAAGTAACAAACAACAAAAAACTCACCTGGCAATGAATTCGGCTGGCTTCAGGTTCCGAACCCTGTCCACTTCCTCGATATCCGCACACACCTGGCAGTTGACGGGCGGTCGAAAGGGGTCTTGGATCTCCTCTATGAACGGAAAGATGCAGGATTCCTTCTCCATGTCTCCGTCCAGGAAGGTGAACAGGTGTTCCGTCAGCTTCCTGCGCACCATCGGGTGGATCAGGCCCGTGCCGAGCCCGACGGCCACCGCCGCGACTATCACGGCCAGCACGGCGGCTGTAGCGCAGAGTATCCCCCCACATGTGGTACGGCGTCCGCTCAACTTCTTCACCGAGCTGACCCGATAGATGTCCTCGTCCGAGAGTCCGAAGGAGTCGATTTTCTTGCAAAGTTGCGCGATTTTGCGCTCTACTTCCGCCTTGTCTGTCGCCATCTTGGGAACGCCTGCTGATCTCCTTGCACCACTGTACAGCAGCGCCACCTAGCAACTTTTTAAAGCGCTGCTCCTATTTCTGCGTCTACCAGAGACTCGCATGGGCCTCTCCCTATAACTATAGTAGTAGATGTAGATGTCTTCGGCCAGGTAGGGTCATAAGTTCCAGTTATGGTTTGTTATAACGGTTTGCTATAACATTAACGGTTTGTTTTCCTGCCAATCGGTTTCCGTTTGGTGTCTGTGTCAGTTTTTGTGTTTCTAAAGGAAAAAGTAATCAATTTCATAACCCAGATTTAAGTGTTCTTTTATCTAATAGCCACATTTGCCACCTAAGTGTTGATTTGCTTCTGCTTCTAGTGATGCTGTTGCATGCATCATAGCTCATAAGATCTTTTTGCAGTTTGACTAGGTAACGATAATGAAATTTTCTCTCTTCTAATGATTAGTATAGTGTGGTAATCTCATAGGCTTGTAAAGTAAAATATATAAACATGACAAAAACAGTTCTTGATTCAGTCAAGTACATCTTACTTTATTTTGTGTTGGGTTTTCAACTTGTATTCTATCCACATAGGTAAAGAGCAAACTTACAGGACACAGTCCACTCTATTCCAGATTTATTTTGAAGCACAGCAAGTGTACAGTGAGAACAATACCATTAGAAAGAATGCCTGCTGTCAAGATATTCAGAAACTGGATATATTTACTCTATAAGACACTGTTTACACAGTAAAAGAGCTGCGATATGATCTCAAGACTTAGAAAGACAGCCCTGCAAACAACCTAAAGACATCTTCTAATCACTTGATGTTTGCCAAGTCATCAGTATATTTCTTGTCTTGCTTCTCTCTCTGTTCTTTCTCCCAGGCCTCCTTGACCAGCTTTAGACGTTGTTCACGTTTCTTGAAGTACTCCGGGTACCGAGCGCGCTCAGATGGGTGCCAGTGGTCCAGAAGCTGGAGGAATGTTAAAGACAGAATTTCTCAGTGAAAAAGAATCAACTGTATCTCGGACAACAGTTGAGCTATTCTTCCACTTGTCGTTTGAAGCAGAAAATATAACACCAGAAGTTGTCATTGTAACAAGTGGAAGCATATTTCAATCTAGTTCAGCTCCTGGAAAAGTTATTTATCCAAAAGTCTTGACAAAAAGGATAGATACAATATTCACATCTTTGAATGTATGTCAGAAATGCCCTCACTTCTTTTTGATAATACCGGGTATGATCATAAGATATCTTAACTTTTACCCTACTGAGTTAGAGTTTTGACACCAAATTTGGATTGCTTACAGGGTTCAGGAACAACATACAAAAAAGTATAACATGTAAACTTTAACAACACTGCATATGAAGAAAATCATTATGAAGACAATTTCTTTCTACGTACTTGTCTCTGTCTACAGGAAGATATGTTTACCTATGATTTTTGAAGAGAAAGATGCTTGGCAGGAAGAGTGTTACCTACTAGCATGTAGAGAAGTGTATACAGCAATGCTTACCCAGTCAGGATGTTGGTACGCCTGGTATCGCTCGTATGTGGTACCGCCTGGTGAGTCTGGGACTGGAGATTGAACAATGATAAAGATCAGGAAAAGCTCATGTTTGCAGAGGGCAAATAAACATGAAGTTTGTGTGACAGGTACAAATATAATTCCTGACAAGAGTAGATTCATTCAGTCAGGTAGGACACCTTGTCCAGTTTTGTCAGGCCTAGGAATAAAAATATTGTGTTTCCTGTTTCAGTCCTGAAAAAATTAGGGTCGGCAGGTAGGAATTATCTTTTTATTCTTTTTTTTGTGTGTGAAACTTGCACTTATATTTTCAATGCCAATGTTGGAAAACATTTTACAATGTTTCATCACTCAGGTGTCAGATCATGGAGCTAGAAGTAGAAAAGGTCGATCAGCTCAAAAAATGTATGTCCCTTGCAGGGATCTACAAAAAAAAAGGCTAGGGTCGGCAGTTTTTTCTAGGGTCTGTCAGGAAACAACATTTTTTTCCAAGCCCTTATTATTCTTTGCATCTTTACTATCCTACAGTTGCATCTAATTGGGTGACTCTCCGTATACAAATGTACATGCCTGTCATTGTCAAGCCTTGCCTTGGATGCAATCACTGATGGTGGGTTCAGTTTCATTAGTCCAGCATGTGTACTTACAGATGTATGGCTGTGGATGCTGTCTCTGTAAGAACTCCTCCTCCCCTGCCTTCAGCAGTTTGACTGCCTTCACCATGTCCACCTCATCCTTGTGTTCATCAAACCGAGCTCGCAGCAGTGTCGCCTCATAACGGAACTTATCCCTGGAAAGATGGCAGGTGATACTGTGATGTGAATCTTGAAATTTTTGCAGAGGTGGGTTTCAAATGTATTCATATGAAATGCCAGAGTCAGACATGTAACAGTGGGGGTTTATAGGTGCTACCAACTGATCCAGGGATGACGAATCTTGAAAAGAAAAGGGGGAGTAGTGTAACAGTGGGGGGTTTATTGGCACTACCAACTGATCCGGCCGAGGGGTCTAGACCTATTAGCCGAATCGTAAGAGCGTCGGCATATAGACTGGTGCCCGGGTTTGGCTGTGGGTTCGATCCCCGGCCCGGGACCAGAAGTGTCTTTCTGTTTTTACTCTCCTTATTCTTCTTACAGACATATCCCAAAGAAAGAGTGTCAAAGAAATGTTGTTCATCCATCGTTCTCGAAATAGGATGTAAAAGACAAAGTCTTTCCATATACATTTAATACTGTCTTAGTGTCTTATATTACTTTCCACAGAAATTAAACATAGTCTTATAATACTTATCAGTTACATGTTACCTCCTTTTTTACACTGTTGAACTTCATGTAAGAACCCTTTTCTAACCTTGCAATAACTTACCAATAATATAATTCTATAACATAGTCAAACTCATCAAGAAGTCGTTCTCTTTACCTACAAATGGTCAATTAATCTTTGGATTAAACTAAAGAAGCATCCTGACGACTGAACTGTAGGTAACGGGATCGTGGAATGTGTCTTTTGGTGCAAATATTCGGTGTAACAACAATGTGTAAATTTTTAGACCAAGGAGGACTAACACCTTTTTTTTCAGCTCAAAAAGCCCTACCATGTTAGGGCACAGTGACATAAAATGGTGCAATTCTACTAACAGACTAGTCCAAGGACCTACCTCATAACACACCAAGACTCTAAATGTCTGGAGGCGCGCTTGTACAGACGACAAACCCGCTGTGCGTGAGACAGGTACGAGGCCGGGTTGGTCGCCATTTTCGTCCCTTCCCTCCTGAAGGTCAGAAAACTGCACATTCCATTCACATAATGGGTAAGACACTAATGATCCATGATATTTAATAATGGAAGTTATTCATATTCACCGGGTTATGATCGAATTTTTTTCATGAGACGCGAAATAAATATAATCTGCCTTGTGTTTTTAGTATGAATGTATTATCATTTTTGTGATTCTCTGTTCACAACAAGTTAGCAAGCCACTCCCTTTTGGAGAAAGTAGAATCGTCTACAAGCTCTCGCGAGAGTTTGTTGTGGCGAGAAAATCTGGAGGTGAAAGTTCTCGCGGCAAAGTTGAAAGGAAATGAAATCTGTGCTGTGATTTTCGAAGATGAAGAGATCTTCAGAGGCTGAGATCCAGACAAAACGAAGGAAGAGACGTCTTGAGGATCTGTTAGGTACATGGGGACTCGAGGGCTATTTGAAATGATGGCTGATTCGAGGAGGAACTCGGAAGAAAATTTAGCTTGTGTGATGAGTTGGACCATGGAGTACGAGATGGGAAAATAATGTTTTGCTCGAACTAAAAGCTTTTTAGTTTTGAATGTTCATAATTTTCCAGGTTTTGATTTTTACTACATCCTTAGAGGGTGAAATATCCCTTTGTGTGTCAATATTTAAGACATGCATGAGGGGGTGAAGTCTGCTGTCTCTGATGGGCTAAATGGGGGCCTGCATGGGGGGGTCCCAACAACGCTCTACGCTGAATTCGGAAACCTCTCAATTACACTTTAGGATAAATTCCAAATGGCTACAATGCATTATGTAGAATTAAAACGGTGAATACGCTCTACGCAAAATATGCTCTACGTAGAATTAAAACGGCGGATTACGCTCTACGGAAAAGGGCATGTGGGCCCCGCTAAATAAATGCCTTTTTTTTTTTCAAAGCTACAAGAACCCCCAGTACAGATCACCTGACTGGAAATAGCCGAGCTTTACTCAACCAGGCTGTCTTTCAACTCATCGATCATCATCAGGACCTTAACCAGCTGCTGAGGGAGGTCAGTAACCAAAAATCAATTAACCAAATGTTGTATTAACCAACCAACCAATTAACTAATCAGTTAACATATTAACTAACCAGATTTATAATCAATCAGTTCGTTATTCATCCAATGATTTGCCCTTAACTAATTGTTATCTATCATTTAGTTTCCATAATGCATTATCCAGTAAAATCCAAAGAAAAATGACACTAACTGTTAAACGTTAACTGTTTTTCTTCTTGATATTGATGCACCAGTGATAAAACATAATGACAATTCTTTATTTTTATATTCTAGGCTACGAGTACCATTGTGCAAGGCAAGACTGGCAGTGAAGATGTGGAGATACCTAATTCTGGACCTGCCTCTAGTGAGTCATTCAGTCTCAACCCAACAGGTGAAAAGAAAGTTTTACCTTTTTCACTTTCACCCAACAGGTGAGACTAAGGGCTGTAATGTTACCATTCCAAGACGTCAGGGGAGGGCAGTCCAAAATTTTGTAAATACAAATGTATGTGAAGTGGATGGTGTTAAAGAAATTTCATGCTTTGGTAGAAATGGAGCTTGCTCCTGTCCAGCAAAGAGGCCAAAAGAAATGACATTACCATATGACCGGCATATGGCTATTTCATGACATCATTCAAACAGTTATTGTAAAGAAATTTTTTCAATATATTTTCCACCATGGTATGGCATAAATAACTGAACCAGGTACTAGTATTAATGTTCCTGTTTTAAATATTCTCTTTCAGTGTTGAGCTGTGTGAACTACCTGAAGCATTCTGTCAGCCAGAATGGGAGTGGAACAGGTCAGGTTTCTACACGGAGTTGTGTAGAAGGACTCAAGGCAACACTGAGGGTTTCAGGAACTAGTGCAACTGTTCTACTTACCCAGGAGCAAAGGGTACACTTTTTTGTTTGGTTGTATGTTTTGCATAACTGGTATTAAGGCATAGGACACCATGTATGTATGTACAAGCTGCGTAATGATATGACGGTATGATGTTTGAACTGCTCACATCAGAAAGGACCCTCTAGTAACTCTCTTCATGGGTCGCGTGGTGTAGCAGCAGAGTGCTCGACTCGGAACCAAGAGGTCTCGGGTTAGAGTCCTGACATGCCACCGATCTTGTGTCCTTGGGAAATGCACTTCATGACTTTCCTCACTTCCCTCAGGTGAAAATGAGTCTTGCATTGTCTCTTGTGTTGGTGGCGGCATTGATATAAGTTGAAAAAACTTGAGTGTGTCCCCACCACGTCTTGTGATTACTGTCAGTTGGAATAAAAAAACTCTTTGCGATAAGCATGGTTGGATCTTTAACATGCTCGAGGTGTAGCTTTCCCATTTTTATCTCGGCCGCCTGAGCGGCCGAGGTATTGTGCTCCAAAATATGTTCTTTGGATGGATGGATGTTGAAATCTTGATTTCGACCGTGAAAAAAAAAACCAATGAAACCAATTACTCTGCGTGTATACTTTACTTTGTGGGGTCGAGCTACCGGATGATAGTGTCGTTATTCTTATACAACGAAGTTGCTAAAAAAGAGGAAATGCTGTTTACCACAAAACCATTGTTTAATATCATAGTATGCATTTAAGGTTCTAGAATTTCGCTAATAGCTGCGGTAATTGGACCAATAAATCAATGACATAAATTATGTACATTAACCTTCCATATTTGCTTAAGTCGCAAGATGTCGCTTTTGATTGGTGAATAAATCACTGTGACGCACGTAAATATTCACTTGAAATGAGAAATTACCGCCCAACAAAACGGACCATTAGATTCCCAGTGCTGTATTACTCTTTTGTTCTTGTGGTCAACTTGTTTCTTTGCTTGAATCGCGTAAAAGACCAAGGAAAATACAATGAAATCGGCAAATATCGCCGAGCCGAGCTGTGCCGATCTGCCGCCGCCATCTTGGATTTTTTTGGAAAGCTGCAATTTGGCCCAAACCGCTAGAGGGGGCGAATTAAAATGTTTAATATATTCGGTCTGAAGTTTTAGTAGCTCTAGCAGTAGAGGAGAAGTTTGATAATGCATAGAACGGATAAAATAGAATAAAATTAAATGAAATAAAATAAAACAGAATAAAAAATAAAATGAAAATAAATAAAAAATAAATAAAAATAAAAAATAAAATAAAATGAAAATTATTGTAGTGGTTACATATACTTAACGTTATATTGTATTTAGCAATGATCATTTAGCAAAAAAAAATTCGGTACTGAAACTCCGGTATTCAGTATCAGGTACAGGTACAGGTCCGGACCTGGACCTGATCCTCTGGACCTGGAAGAGCCGAACAGGTACCCACCCCTATGGCTAGTGGTGTAATATGGCTGTAATGTCGACACTGTTTGTTGAGTACTAGTACAGTATATTTATATTCCTAATCAAAAGTAACAGTGAAAGATTTGCCCATACATTGGTATTGAAATAAAGAGCACATTTTAGTACCGTTCACCTGTCAATTTGGTCATTTTCCGGGGGGTACGTTTATTCCGGAGGGTATGTATATTAGACTTTGAAGATTTGTCCGGGGGGTATGTTTATTCCGGGGGGTATGTTTATTAGGGACATGAGAGTAGTATGCATTAAATGTTATAAAGATTTGGTAATAACTGCTGCAATTGCACCAATAAACCAAGTTTAAAAAATTACGTTTTAATATTACCTTGAGACATCTGAATAAGTCAAGACGAAGGTTATGGAAGTGCACTATATTCCTCGGTCTCTAGCAGTTACACAAATCTATGTGGACATCCTCAAAGAACACAAAACTACATGGCCAGCGGCCGAGATAAACTTTTTTCAAAAGTCTTGTTTGTTAAGCATTGTAGGTACACAGTCATGTTTAATGATGTTAAAGACCATTGTGTGCTGTGTCTGTGTTATACAGAAGCAGGTCCAGTCTCTACTTACTGCAGTACAGGCCTTACAGAAGGATCAGTCCTTCAGCCGCAGTCACTTCATCAAGTGTCTTACAACAGAGGTGTGTTCTCACTTTTAGTTTTATGAAAATTTTGTGCTTACTGTCTTTAACCTTCTCACAGCCTCCCATTATCTAATTCCATAACAAATTTGGTGTAAAATTGCAACCTTAGCAGTCTGAAGGGTGAAGTTTGTTACCCACCTAAGCATTAGATAGATATTTGAGTAAATTAGATAGATATGAGTAGAAATTAGTTTGATATGTTGCATCTCTGAAGAACTTGCCATACATTGTACCTGGGACAATTGTTGTGCAATAAAGTTTGATTTGAATTTGATTTGTAAGTATATATATATGGCTTGACACCCATTTAAAGTTAGTAAAATCCCAGTATAAAAGATCAGATGATTCAGAACTTGATCTTGTGTCTTATGCTTGGATCTACCATTGAAAACTGTATATGATCCCTTTCCGATTCACAGGTTGCCCTCCCCTTGGAGCTTGTGTGGTGCCTTCACCATACAGCAGGGATTCCCCTCAGCAGTTATCTAGCCTGGTATGGTCTTCATCTGTATCTGTATAGCCAGTATAACCGCCCTTCTGTGTAACACACCAGCTTCAAAGGCGCACGGTGTGGCGGCAGCTGGCTACATCACACCAATTGACTTGTTACACCTAAACCTAGCTTGAACATCTAACTCTATATATAGACATTGTTTAAAGCTGTCTAATGACAATGCCCCTACTGTACTTGGTGACAGCGAGTTCCACTCTGCGATAGTTCTAGGAAAGAATGAATTATTGAACACCTCAATCCTTGGTTGATTACTCTTGTACTTGAAGGCGTGGCTATTTCCACCTGTTTATTAGTCATTTTGTACATCATGCATTAGCCTGACTAAATCGCGCTCCTGGCGGCCGCCGCCCTAGGTTGGGGTGGGGGTCATTAACCTCCAGCCGAGAGCTTGTATACACAGGCTAATCATGCATAGTCTGGACATTTTTCTTCTATCTTCTAGTGACACCCACATCTAAAGTTCATTCTTGCAGTTTGTGTTTTGTGTTTACGATCCTCTCCTC